TCTGCTCTCAAGAGGCTCGGGCCTATGCACGGTGCTGGCACAGTGGTGATGTGGGGTGGGGGTAGGGGACGCAGGTCTGTGCAGCAGCAGTGCAGTCCCTGAAGGGCTTTGACCTAGGAATGGCGATTCCCGCCATTGCTTTCACATCTCCATGGGATTCTGCATCTTCTGCCTTCCTCCCTTTGCAATGGGAGACTCTTACTGTGTCCAGGAATTGCCGAAATTATGCCCCAGATTTAACTCCCATCGGAATTAAGTGACCTAATAGCTTTGAGGAGCTGTCTCAGAAATGTATCTGTCTGAGAGTCCGTCTGTCTCCAACTCCTTTGTTCAAGAACTGCTCCTAAATGGTAAGAACTAGGACCCCAAATTTGGTATTCAGCTTCCTTTTATTCTAACTTAAAGCAAGGTCAGGATTTGGTTGTGCCAGGACAATAGGATGTGCCTGGAATGGGATTGTTTTCCTTAACGTGCAAAGGGAGGGGGCTGATCAGCCTGGCCCTCAGGTAGACGCTGGTAGGCAGGGTGTGCAGCCCCTCCTGGCTGATGAAAAGGAACTAGGACCCCAAATTTGGTATTCAGCTTCCTTTTATTCTAACTTAAAGCAAGGTCAGGATTTGGTTGTGCCAGGACAATAGGATGTGCCTGGAATGGGATTGTTTTCCTTAACGTGCAAAGGGAGGGGGCTGATCAGCCTGGCCCTCAGGTAGACGCTGGTAGGCAGGGTGTGCAGCCCCTCCTGGCTGATGAAAAGGACCTACTCTGGGCCAGCCCTGGGGAAAATCCAGCAGGTGACCTGTGCAGTCCCCTGCCCTGGAGAGAAGCAAGTGGGCAGCCTGTGTGGCCCCTGCTGCCCCAGGCCAGCCTTGGCAGGCAGCCCCCCCCCCCCCCCTCCCAGGGCAGTCCCATTAGCCAGGCAATGCTGGATAAGTCTTTTGGTTGTGTCATGTTGGTGTTTCAGCTCTGCTAGGCCAGGTCTTAGCCTTTGTTATGAAATGGCCTTTGTCTTGTATCATTCTTGACAGGGTTAAAGTTGATGTTTTTGCACTGGGGCAGTTTTCAAACTGGGAGAGGTATATAGACAGCATAGGTTTTAGTCAAATTGATTTTCAAATTGTAGTCTGTAGAACTACATGTTGGTCCATTGAAAGCTGATTAGTCACATGATTCTGGCTCTTCTCATTTAAGTAGCACTAATAGAAGCAAAACTGCAGTAAGTATTTTCCAAATATCTTTCTGTATAAACAATTGCTTTAGTTGTCACAGGGATGTTAGCAGATTGTTAATGCTGGATTGACTCTGGATGATCAAGAATGGAAAGGGAAGTGTGCAAATGACAATCTTAATATAGAAGAACTTCAGGGTTACAAGACACCTCTGGAATGAAGGTTGTGTGTAGCTCTGAAATATTTGTAACTGATCAAAATGCTACAGGTCTTTCAATAGTTTATAACTGAATATTGACTTATCTTGTCAAATCTATTTTAAACCTTCCCTTTATTTTTAGTAACTTATATTTACCTTTTGTGTGCATGTGTCTTTTTTGTCTCTGCTTCCTGAATGCATACTTCTGGTTCCAAATGAGGTGTGCAGTTGACCAGTCTGTTCACAACTCTGGAATATCTAAAATTAAGTTCTGAACTGAGATGCAGTTTGCATTATGAAATGGGTTAAGAACCCTGGTTCTCATTTCTTGTTCTTTCAATATTCTTGATGCACACATCTCAGAAGCCCGAGCAGATGTTTGAATAACAAAATCTTGTATTACACCTGTAAAACAGCATGTGTCTTTTAAAAGAATATCAAAACAAGGGAATGGTTCTGGCAATTCCGGAAAATCAAAATACACCCAGAAGCATTCACAGTATACATTTACCATCTTATGCTAACGTCTTGACAGCTTGCCCGAGGGATGTGGGGTCAAACCAGGTAAGCACTTGCATAGAAAAAACTCATAAGATATATTCATGATGTTTCAGGAATTTCAACAGGTAGCATTCTCTATACTGAATCACTATTATTCTCAGATGCTAGGGGTATTGTGCTATGGCAGATGCCACACAATTTTTGCCAGGGAACTAGATACTAGTACAATGCAAATGAAAATTATTAAGCCTCCCGTTATTCCTAGAGGAAAGGAAGATATCAATAATACTCATTCCATTTCCATGGTGTACTGTGTTGGAATAAAATGCATTCATTTATTAGCATACTTCATTAAGTTAGCACAGGAAGTCAAGATGACTGCTGTAGCCAAATGAAACTGTAGGGGGAGTTTAAAGGAAGCAAAATGTAATTTCTTGAGTGATAATTTTGCAAGGGCATAAAAACAACCCTGCTGGTAAATGGAGGAATAAATTGCTCATACACAGGGTGGGAGAGCAGTGGTAGCAGCACCTTTGTCTGGCTTCACCCTGGGAAAAAAAACCAGCCATTGCTTGCCTCTCTTTTGGATGCTATTAACTATATTGAATTAACTAATTTAGCAAAACCAGGGGACTGCATGGGCCCTATTGTTACATAACTGTAGACCCTAGCTAGCTGCTTAGTGGTCTAAGCATAGGGATTGTATAACATCAAGACTTCCACTTGTCCTTGAATGGAAACCACAAGCACAAATAATTTGAGGTCCAACTGAACCCATCATCCTCTCTGGATAGCAACCACATCTTCAAACACCTTAATTGATTTTTCAGAGGAGGTGTCAAGTCAAAAGGGAGGTGCTGCAACTCAGCAGGCGCAGTTGAAC